CTTTATGAGTTTAATTCATACAGATAAATATTGTGAGTTGACATTGGTTAGAGAACCATTGGAAAACCAGCTAGGAGTATTGTTAGACAGCTTTCGTCGTCCTCCTCTTGAATCCTTCAGAATACGCACCCACCGGGGTTCCAACCCAGGACCTTCCAGCTACGAGGTGAGCTCGTATACCATTCAGCCACTGGAACCCTATCCATCAGTGGCCAAACCGTGAATTCTATCTTCTACCAACTCGTGATTTATAGTGCAACCACCAACCAATGTCCTCGGTTGGAAATCCATCCTCACTACCGACTGGATAGATCCCACTGGTCAGGACTTCTCACTCACCAGAACTCCAGGCATTTTGTCCTGTAGTCAATCACTAGTGAGCATCAGATTAATTTTCAAAAATTAGTTTGCAGGAATTCTATCAGTTAGAGAACCACTGAAAACCAGGGTGTACTGGATACCTGGGTACAAGACAAATTTGTGTAGAGTTCTAGTGAGAAGTCGTGACCAGTGGAGTCCGTCCAGTTGGGATTGAGTTCCCACCGATGGTATTGGTTGGTGGTTGCGCCAAAATAATGAATTGGTAGAGGCTGGCATTCATGGGTTGGCCACTGAATTAGGTCCCAGTGGCTGAATGGTATGCGAGCTTGCCTTGTAACCGGAAGGTCCTGGGCTTGGAATTCTTTTTGTCGTTAAAACGATGAATTTTCCTTTTTTTCAAATTACTGAGTTTAACTGGTTACACCGGCGATGAGCTCATCCCCAAACCAGTGTGATGGTCGTCCAGTGATATAAATCATCCCTATTCGGCTAGCAAGCATTACCAGTTAATGATGTTAATAGTCATCTAAATGAATTAGTGGCATATAGTTGTTTTATGCAAATATGCTTGCTTCCTTGATTCCCATTTATGATATCAGGCTGATCACGTATGCATTGTGATCTGATTGATTTGGTTGTACCAAGGAAGCTGAGGTGAAAATGTTCACCTATCCAACTGTGTAACCATATAAATTGTTGACCAATGCTTGTAATTTTAAAACAGGCAACAAAGTTTAATAATGCAGGATTTAATGAATTCATCAAATTTCGGTACAGCTCTTCCTCAGCTGAATACTCTACATGCAAGGATATATTTATCATTGGAAATATATTGAGAGGTAGTAAGACTGATAGTGCGTCGGTGGCATAGCGGTTAGGACGCTCGCCGACCATGCATATGGTCCGGGGTTCGATCCCCGACCTTCGCACTCCTTTATCTCGCTAAGCGAGAAGTGATGCTGATGAAGAGGAAAGATTGAGCATGAGGCTAGCAACCCCATCCTGTAAAAATAAACACTGCTACAGAAACTTCAAGCCACTAGCTTGAAGCCCTATATTCCACTGGGGAACGTGAAGGATAAAAAAAATAAGACTGATAAGCAAACAAACTACATTGTATTAATTATGCAAAACGACAGGTGTGAGTGTATTTCAGGTCATGTTATCTCCCTATTCACAAATGTGCCAGTCATTGAGACTATTGAACTTCTATTTAGACAAGCTAACGACACACTCATCCCAACATCGGAATTGAGGAGATTGTTACTTTTATGTACTAAAATTGTCCAATTCCTATTTGATGGGCATCTATTCCGTCAAGTTGATGGTGTCACAATGCGAATCCTCTTGGGACTACTGTTTGCAGATTTATTCTTGTCAAGTCTAGAAGCCGGTATTTTGCAGCAACATATACAACAGACGAACGTATACCTAAGATATGTTGATGACATTTTTATTGTCTGTGGAAGCAGATCAAAAGCTGAAGACATGTTGATAAAATTCAACTCATGCCATCCGAATCTCAATTTCACAATAGAACACGAGGAAAACGATACTATTAAATTCCTAGACGTTTTTCTAGCGAAAATGAATGATGGCACAATCGAAAGATCTATATTTAGAAAGTCTTCATGGACAGGACAGTACATGCATTTCAAGAACTTTGTTCCAATCCAGTATGAAAAGAACTTAGTCAGAACACTGTTCAATAGAGCACGAAAAATTTGTTCTGATAGTACTACTGAGCATGAAATAAAATCTCTGAAGGATATTTTATCTAAGAATGGATATCCTGAGAAGTTCATTAATAAATACTCTAAAGAAATTAGCCCCTGCAAAACAATCCAAACGGTTCCGAAGAAATCTGTCTACATCAGTTTGCCATTCAAAGGAGATGATGTACAGGAAGTAGTCAAACGAAGACTTGATAAAGCCATCAAGAGAACTTATTATGCTGCAAAACTTGTTTTCCTTAACACCACTAAGCGAGTGCTTCAACAATCTGGGAAAGACCAGTCGCCAATCCTTGACACTTCAAACTGCGTATATCAATTTGAGTGTGTTTGTGGAAGCAAATACATAGGTCGTACGGAAAGGCGATTGTCTACTCGCATGATGGAGCATTTGCCAAAATGGTTGAAAACAGCTGAGTGCAAAATGACAAAAACCTCAATAACAAAACATCTTGTGGACTATGGACATGATATTGACGCAGTCAAGTCATTCACCATTGTCAGCAGACAAAGAAACAGGAAGATGCTTGCAATTGCTGAGGCTTGTGCAATTCGAGTTTATAAACCAGGTCTCTGTGTACAAAAGGAGATGGTCGTCACTCTGAATCTACCATGGTAATACGTTTTACTTATTATTCTACCTCTTATTATTATTATTCTTGATTCACTTAAAACTATCCATTATCAGTAGCATTATCTTAACTCACTTCAACATTATTATTATTATTGTTATTATAACTATTACTACTGATATTAATCTGCTTGCAATTCTTGTTATATTCTCTAATGACTAATTGTTTATCTAAGTGATGTAATTGAAGCGTAATGCAATTTATCTTAATTTTGATCTCTCATACTCTCTCTCCCCTTATCTATTTGAACATGACCTGAAAAGCATTCGCACGTGTCGTTTTGCATAATTAATTCAATGTAGTCTATTTGCTTATCAGTCTTATATCTCCCAATGTAATTTCAAAAGTATATATATCTGTGTATGTAGAGTATTCAGCTGACGAGTTCTGTGGTTAGAGCTGGCTGCTAGCCAAAGTTGGTAGACAGTAATTGACGTCATGTTTATGTCCCCAATATTGGTGGTGAGAAAATGAGAAAAAAGGCTTTGCGTAGGCGGATACAGTTAGCATATGGGTGATCTGACACAGCCACGAAGAGATGCAAGGTTAACTTTCTGTGAGAAACAACCAATCAAAAGACTGCATTTTCTACTAACAATAATCTACAATAATGTACATTAAAATCTATAAATATGTGTTGATTTTCCTTAATAAACGATCTGTTGCCTGGCCCTTGTCTTCTGTTGTTACAGTTCTACCGAAATTTGATGACTTCATTAAATCCTGCTTTATTAACCCCTTTGTTGCATGTTTTAAATTCGATCGGCAAATAAATGTATCCAATTTGCAAATTGTTAATTTCGATGACTGCTGTTCACTAGTAGACAGGACAACTTGATCCAAAGGTCAGTATACACTAAATCTTGATGGATACTGGACAGTGTATCAACTTCCAGAGCTACAGACTGTCACACTGGTCAAAAAGCAAAACCTACTGAATTCTATATTACCAAAGGATTCGAAATGTCTAATCAGAAGATATGACACAGGTTGAATTAAGTCCCGACCTAGATTTATTGACAAAAACGTGAAAGAATATCCTCCACTGCTGAAAGACTGCAGTTGTTCCCAAGATGGCTTTTTCTATATATAGCCCTGATTTTCCTGAAATGCTACATTTATCTTTACATTACTGGTTGGATTTCCCTCACCCCACCGATGATGACCTTGTAATCCTATTGGTTGTCGGCTGTTTTTGTTTATTGGTGTAATTCGTATCTCCTAGGGTCATTTAGGGAATATGTATATGCAAGCGCTGTCAACCACGTTTCACTGTCGATTCAAGACAATTAAAGCTCTCTCTCTAGTCATCGCCTTCCTCGACAATGGGCAATGTTAGCTGATATAGAGTCAGGCTGGAGAAGAGTTAGCGGCGGTCAAACGAAAACATGGCGCTAGTCAATGAAATCCACAACAGTTAGTCTAAGCCACGTAGGAAGATGTAGACTTCCTGGTTGTGGTCATCGGGACAGTAAAAACCAATGGTTGGAAACAATTGGTGACATGGCTCAAAATCGTTCTCAATAGCTAGTGCAGATGCATCCACTCCTTGTGACTTATGATTTCCAATTAAACTGTTTTGTTCCTCGTTATTACTATTCCTTTGTCTCACACCTCTGTTTACTGTCTCTAATATGCATTTCTCCTACTTTCTTCTGTTGCTTTGTGTGCTTTATGGAGGGAGTGTGGCAAATTGAACTGCCGCACATATGTGCAAAGTTCAATGTCGAAAACAGACATGTCAGCGATCTGTCTTCTTTTCTCGTCTTCTTGAGTCGCGTTTTCGGTGACATCCTATCGTGTCTTTGTTATTGCTAACAGTGAGTAGAACAGTAGGCTCAAGAAACGAAGAGGAGGGATATTTGTCAGCGCAAACTATCGAGTGTATTAACACTCATATCAGATTATAACATGAAACTGGAGTTCGCGAGTGACAGTGAAGAATAAGCTCTTAGACATCGGCTTCTCAACTGTTTGAAGAAGACATTTTAAGCAGCCACCTAGCATATATCACATTCTTTAAGTAGACAGTTACTCCAGTCAAGCAGTGTATTTAGCAGTTTATTTTATACCTGTAGAGAAAAGTGTGTCTACCGAACACAGCGTCAAGCCAACAGACGTATTTATGAATACTATCCACCCTGGTTAGCCGCCAGAGGAGAAGTGAAGAACCACAGTTATTCTATCCTCGAACACCTTGTCAACGATGGACACTAAGCACTGCCACATGACTATTTCACAGTGCCAGGAAATGACCTCGACAAGGCCGATACCATTAGCAGTTTAGTTGTTCGGAAAACTAAATGAACACGAATTTCTCATTAGTACCATTTATTTATGTTCTTTCTCTGTCTTTTTTATAAAGAAAATTATTCTCTTCTGTGATTACGTAATCAAAAATCAAAACAAAATAACAAACAACAAATAAACAAACACAAAAACTGAAAATGAATAAAACAAAATGATTATCTCATCGAAAACAAAAATCTCTATCGAATACAGAAAATAAAGTATACATAACACACTTTCAGTATTTGAAAATTGATCAAAGATACAAACATTAATCTATTTTGTATTGGTCAAATTTCAAAAGAAAAGAAAGGGATAGCGATTCAAATATGAAAAACCAAAGAGAAAAAATCATTTCAAATATTTCATTTTCAATAACGGTGAATTGTATGTGTTTCCCGCCAAAAATTTCAAATTCCCGCCAAATTCAAATTTCCCGCTACTCGTCCATTTTGAAAAGACTCAAAAGAGTGATTGATGGTTGGATTTATCAACAACAACAGCAGTATTATCAAAATGAAGGGGAAAAAACAACCACCACCACCACTAACACAAGAACAACAACAATGGAAAAAACGAAGATTGTTGAATATTGAACATGAGAATCTGTTTGTTTATTTTTGGCGGTTGTTCAATGTTTCAATATATGTGTATTTTTCAAACAAAAAACAAGTAGAAAACTAAGTCATCATATAGAAAATAACAATACTTAATTCATAGTAAAAAGTGAAAAAAAGTGAAAAATAGTCTCACTACAAAATCAAACAAATCAAGAATGAAATAAAACAAAACAAAACAAAAAAACGAAATAAAAATATTAGTCAACTAATAAATGAAAATTTAGAAATTTGAAAATGATGGAGGAAATGTGTTTTGCATCTTTCTATCTCTTTCAGATCTTGGTGAGTTACTTAGTATTACATTAATCGTAATCTTTATTTTATCAGTAGTATTAATAGTAGTAATAGGAAGTAGAAATAACCAATCGTTCGAAAAGAAAATGAAGGATACTTGTGGCATTCTAGACATTTTGACATGATGATGATGGAATACAGACCAGAGGTAAAACATTCTGTAATAATTCAATGTTCACTTTTTACACACAAACACACACATTAAATAAATCAAAGAGCTAGAGTTCAATTTAAAGTGTAAAGTCACCGAATTATGAATGTAAACCAAAAGGTAGGGCTTTTGGTAAAGCACTTAGGAGATAGAAAGATAGAAAGAGATAGATAGATAGATAGATTGACGATTGACTGGGTACTTCTCTCTCTGAATTAGTCGAGGCTGCATCTTAACAACGAAATAATAGTCGATCTTTATGATATCTCTTTCGTCAATAGTTTACTCATCTAGAAAGATAGAAATGAAAAATAGAAAAGTAATAATTAAATTTATGTCCTTATGACCAGAAAAGAGGATGGCACAATAAGAAGAAGTGTTTATAGAAAACCTACATCAACGGGCTTTGTGCCCTTGAAATACAAACGCAATCTAATAAAGTGCTTGGTCCACAGAGCAAGAGAGATTTGCTCGGATGAATGTCTTGACGAGGAGCTTAACAATATTAAACGGTTGCTAAGTGAGAATGGTTATCCCAAAAAGTTTATTGATAAGAATATGAATCTGAAACCAAAACAGTCCAAGTTACCAACAGTTCCAAAGAAAGCCTTGTTCTTACAGATGCAGTTCCTAGGAGACAACACAAGTGAGATACTAACACATCGCCTCAGAAATGCGGTAAAAAGAGCATTCCCTGCTGCTCAATTACGCTGTATCTTTAAAACCACTCCTCTTCTGCGTTCGGGAATAAAAGACAAACTGCCTAATTTCGCCTCTTCCATGTGTATATACCAATTTAACTGCTCCTGTGGAGCCAGTTACATAGGCCGTACAATTAGGCGTGTTTCTCGTCGAATTTCCGAACATCACCCTGCCTGGTTAAGCAAAGGACAAACAAAATCTATTCGCAGCGCTATTCTGGCTCATCTTGTGGAGACAGAACACAAGATTGACGTTAATCATGCTTTCAGGGTCATTTACCGCATACCTACGAATCTCAATTTCGCTTTAAGAGTTCGACTACTAAATATTGCTGAGGCTGTGGGGATTCATATTAATAAGCCTAATTTATGCACCCAAAAGAAGTTAGTTCAGTCATTATCATTACTTTGGCCATCCAGGTTTGAATAATCCAGAATTTTTGTGAAATTTCCCTAATTTTAGTTGATATTCTATTCGCTATTATATCTTTATTATTATTATAATTTAAGCATCTTTAATGAACTGTAATTGCATTGATCATACTTTACAAATCGATATTATTTTAAAAAACGCTAATATTGTTATTGACTACTAATTTAAAATATTGTGTATATAAACATATATATAATTGTAGAGCCTGAAGAGGAATTTATCGAAAAGAATATTCTTTGCTCGATTATTTTGTGTTTTATAGATGTCTGAATGAATATTTTTAAGTATTGGTTTTTGTAGGGATTTTGTTTGATTGTTTTGATGGATTTGATCATGAGCTGATATCAGTTAGAGAACCACTGAAAAACCAGCTGTTTCGTCCTAGTTTGCGACTCTTCATCAGTACTCCCAGTTGGTTTTCCAATGGTTCTCTAATTGATGTCAGCTCATAATAATTAACTCTTATTTGCAAATGATTAGAAATAATTTTCAAGTTTTGGTCTGCAGTTTGGTTTTTAATTAAAGTCAAGCATGATCACCACTGGAAACTACCACGAAGGGAGTATTGGAGAGATGTTTAGGCTCTTGTTTGAGACTCTTCAGCGGTATGCAATCATGCAACCAACCGTGGATCGTTGGTTTCTGGCTAACGTGGCTGAATGGTGAGCACGTCTATCCTCGTAGCCTGGAAGTCCTGTGTTCAGTAGCTGACGGTGTTATGGACACGTACTGACGAATAGTTTCGAACTAGGATGTCACAGCAGTTCAATACTTCCTTGTTTCACATATTTACTTAACTGAGTTGATTTTGGCATCAATCTTGAAAATAAAATGAGAATAATTGAGATTCATGCTATCTGGGGTGTTAGGCATTATTATTTTTACTACTTCATCACGGATTGACATCAATTAGAGAATCACTGAAAACCAGCACCGGAGTACTGGACAGTTGTTTCATCCTAGTTTGGGAATCATCGTCAGTAAGCACCCACCACCAAGCTTCGAACCCAGGACCTTCCGGTTACAAGGTGAGCTCGTATACCATTCAGCCACTGAGACCAGATTCAGTGGCCAGTGCATGAATTCTAACTTCCACCAATTCATGATTTAGCGCGACTGGCACCGACCAATGTCATCGCCGGGAAGCCATCCTCATACTTGACTGGATGGACCTCTCACTAGAACTCCAGGGAACGCAGTCCATCCAGTCAAATGTGAAGATGGATGTCCTACCGATGACATTTTTTGCTGGTCGCTCAAATTCACGAATTGGTAGAAGTTAGAATTCATGGGTTGGCCATTTAATTGGGTCCCAGTGGCTGAATGGTATACGAGCTCGCCTTGTAACCAGAAGGTCCTGGGTTCGTTGCCTGGTGGTAGGTGCTTACTGACGATGATTCCCAAACTAGGATGAAGCATCTGTCTAGTACTCCGGTGCTGGTTTTCAATGCTTCTCTAACTGATATCAATGCATAGTCAGACTCGTATAAACAAATCTAATCCTTACAAACCAACTATAGAAAATTATTATTATTATTTGTCATTGTTCCATTGGGTTCCGAGTGGAACATAGGGCCTCAACAGAGCATCTTCATTTTGTCCTGTTTTCTATGGTACTCTTTAGCTGACCCCACGATTGCCCATAGTCTCTCATCTCCTGTGAAGCATGCTTCATAGGGGAGAGCAGTAGACAAGTGAAGGTCACAGTGAGTGAACATAGACTATGCACGAAACGTTCACCTAGAAATAAGTAGAATAAAAAGTCTAGAAAAAAGATCGGCTATAGCAATGTGTGCGATAGACAGTGGGCATAAGATTGATTTCGACAATATCGAAATTCTAGGAAGAGGATTTCATTCACCACATAAAGAGAGGTTGACCTATGAAGCCTTGCACATTTTAAACACATAGAATGCAGTGAATAGGAGAGAATAGATAGGCTTATCACCCATATGGCAAACTCTAATGAAGCAAGATAGATGAAAAAACAACAAAAGCCTCTATGAACCTCCATGACCTTTAAAAAAAATGTATCATCGTGTTTATCACATGTGAATTGACGTCTTTTGCATATGATAAATAACATACACTCACACACACACATATAAAAAATATACACAATAAGAATTTGACATTGGTCATTGTAAATATATGATATCTGCTTGCATATTTCTATTAGTACAAATGTCTGTCGACAAGTGACCTTCATCAAATGAACTGAATTCAATTTATGTAACATTTTTTGACTATATATTTTGATGATTAATACAATCCGAATAATTCTGCTTTGATGAAGAAGCTGTGGTGGCTTACACAGTCAAACACAGTTCAGAAAACAAATCAGAAAAACAAATGAAATCCTCCACGCAATCAAAAAAATCCCTACAAAACCAATACTTGAAAATTAATCTAATGCTCACTAGTGACTGGCCCTATTCAGGCAGTTAACCTGGGGTTCTAGTGGGAAGCCGTGACCAGTAGGGTACAGCAGGTTGAAGATGAGGCAGTAACTCACTCATCGAAGAAGACATTGCGAAATGGTCTCGCTATGTCATGAATTGGCAGAAGTTAGAATTCAAGGACCGTTGGATTGGGTCTCAGTGGCTCAATGGCCTACGAGATCGCCTTATAATCAGACGGTCCTGGGTTCGAATCCCGGTGGGTGCGTACTGCCGAAGAGTCCCAAACTAGGACGAAACGGCTGTCCAGCACTCTCAGGTTTTCCAGTGGTTCTCTAACTGATGTCAGCTCATGATGAAATCCTCCACGCAAATCCCTACAAAACCAATACTTGAAAATCTTATTTTGATTTTTTCTTAAACACTCTAGGATTAATTTAAATAATTTATAATGAATGAATCAATCTGACTCGGCGCTCAAATTATTCCAGGAAGTTCGTAACACCTACGGTCTGGAAACTTATAATCTCATCACCTGGCAACACGATCAATTTAATGGCATTCACAGACGTGTACACTACTCATCGTTTCCCAAAAAGAGAGCCTAACCTGCCATACACACATACACACGATTTCACAAAAACGATCTCTTCAGCGTGTGTGTATCCAATCCATTCGCATATTCTTCAGAGTATCATTTTTGATAACAGGATTTTCATCATGAGCTGACATTAGTTAGAGAACCATTGGAAAACCTGGGAGTACTGAACAGCTGTTTCGCCCTAGTTTGGGACTCTTCAGCAGTACGCACCCACCGGGATTCGAACCCAGGACCTTCTGGTTACAAGGCGAGCTCGTATACCATAAAGCCACTGGGATCCGATCTAATGGCCCATGAATTCTAACTTCTGCCAATTCACGACATAGCGCGACCCCTAGCCAATGTCTTCGGCGAGTATTTGTCCTCACACCTGACTTGCTGCACCCTAATGGTCACGACTTCTCACTAGAACCCCAGGTAACTACCTACCTGAATAGGGCGAGTCACTAGTGAGCATCTCATTGATATTCAAGTGTTGGTTTGTAGGGATCTGATTGGTTACAGGATTTCCATCATGAGCTGACATCAGTTAGAGAACCATTGGAAAACCTGGGAGTACTGGACAGCTGTTTCGTCCTAGTTTGGGACTCTTCATCAGTACGCACCCACCGGGATTCGAGCGCGTCTTGTAACCAGAAGGTCCTGGGTTCGAATCCCGGTGAGTGCGCACTGATGAAGAGTCCCAAACTGGGATGAAACAGCTGTTCAGTACTCCCAGGTTTTCCAATGGTTCTCTAACTAATGTCAGCTCATGATGAAAATCCTGTAACCAATCAAATCCCTTCAAACCAACACTTGAATATTATTTTTGAGCCACAAACTCTTTATTCTTAGAATCTCTTGTTGATTACTCTTTCTGGTCGATAATCTAATCTTCAGTATACAGCCAGTGAACACCGCTGTTGATCAAACTCCGCAATCGCCTGTTGGAAATGTTTTGCTTTCTATGATTCTTGAGCCAAGAATCGACTGACTGACTGACTGACTACCATTGGTACCGAAAAACGGAATTTTGTACTTTTCGTCAAAGTTTATTTGGTCACTAATTTTCTAGCTAAATTTCTAACTAAGCCTAAGAAAAAAGAAAAGTTCATGCTTGTGACTAGTGAGCCTACCTCGGAAAATCACTATCGAAACTTCACACCACGACCAGAAA